GCTGCCAAGCAATTGTCTTTTCTTAAGATTGTCTTGATTCTCATTTTCCATAATGAGAAATTGCTCCCATTAAACCTCTCAATCTCGTATTTTGCTGCCATTGTATTCACCAAGATCTATTCAGCTATCACCGTTTCACAGATCTGTAACGTATATAAAAATAGTATCATGTGAATAATACTGCACTAAGTAAGTTCCCAGGAAAGATTGGAAGGGTCACAAACGGTCCCGCTTAAAACTCAATCTCCTTAGACAGAACTTCCTAAACTGTATTTAATCACCGCACTGACTTTCTATATACGCCAACAGCAACGTATGTGAACAGTACCGTATGGATGAATAGTGTCGTATAGGTGAATAGTACCGTACACATGAATAGTACCGTACACATGAATAACTTTTGTGTATTAACAACACCAACCAGGAGGCTCTGATACCACTGTTAGGATACTGGCATGCAAACCCGACAAAACAAAAGGTAAGGGACAAGATAAAATGAGAAATGACACACAAGAATTTACGTGGTTCACCCAATTTGGCTACGTCCACGGGCAAGTATAGAAGGATTTTACTAAGTAATGTGGGAATACAACTTCTCTCTAATAATAGGAGAACAACAAAAATCTCTCTATTATTAGGAGAAAACACCTCACTTACTATCTCACAAATACCTCACAATTTTGTGGGATTACTCTCTTCTCACCCTCTCTTCTTTCTCTCTTGTGGTGTATCTATAATGCTTGGATGCATTGCCTATTTATAGGCAAACATCCATACAAAAGACAAGTGTAAGGTAGGTGGCACCAAATTTATACCTAACATTGTTGACAAAACATTGTTGAAAACTTAGGGTGGTTTCACATTTCTGTTAATTGATCTTGTTTTAGTGTTATACTATAGATGCATATGTCTATAAATTTTCTAGTGCTCGCGCGATAATTCATATTAATGAGACTGTTTGTTTTCGATAGTTTTAATGGTAGTGGTGAATTATATTTAATAATATTTTTGGTTTTTAAAAAGGTTGAGTTTTATGTTGTGGAACTTATTAAGAAATTAAGTTTAAACACAGTTATTATACAGTAGTTTTTGTATGTTTTTTTAATTGAGTTTTGTAAATATTTTTCATGTATTTGCTCAAAATTATTATTATTTGTAAGAAAACTAGCAAGTTTTATCCACTTTTTTCACATGTTTATCTATTATATATAAATTTTAATAATAATTTTTATCAAATACATATTTAAATTTAATTAATTAAAATTAAAAATATTTTTAAAAAATTTATTTTTATAAAAATAAACTCAAAAAGCTTGCTAAAGGACAAACACACCATGAATAATTGCGGTACCCACTACGTGTTGTGTCCACTGTTTCATTCAAAATTGAAATATGGATAGATACCCAACACCCTAAAAGAAACATCATTCGAAGTATAAAAAAGCTGATACGAAATGGTGGGTATTGGAAAATATTATAGTGGTTATTTTTTAAAAAATAATATTTTTTTTAATTTTAAAAAATTAAAAATATATTAATTTAAAATTAAAAAAATTAATTTTTTAAAAAAATACTTTACAAACCAGATACTTGTAAGCGGCGTATAATTTTTTTTCAGTGATCTTTTATATATATATATATATATTTGTTGAAAGGTTCGTGGGTTTTTAGACTATATAAAGGGATAGATCTGCGGGTATCTAAGGCTTTTTTTGAAAGGAAAACCATCAAATGTAAAACCTCTAAAAACAGATGCTTGCTTCTGTTTGTCAACAATCCTTGTCGAAAGAGTTATCATGGGATTGTGCTGGACACCCACCGAATCTAAAAATATACGTCTTGTTTGTTCGCCTTCCATGAATGAGGTCGTTGGAGAAGACTAGAAGACACTTCGGGCGTCCTCCACGATGGTCGCGCGATTTCCTTCGTTTACGTCTTCTCGTCGTGCGACATCGCATGATTTTATAAGATGCCACCTTGCACGAAAGCAGCGTGGAAACGCACCAAAGTTCAAACATGCCGCGGCTTTAGTAAAGTTATTTTTTAAAATATTTTTTATTTATAAAAATATATAAAAAAAATTATTTTTATTTTACATTAATATTTTTTATATTTTTACATATTTTGATGTATTAATATAAAAAATAACTTTTAAAAATTTTAAAAAAATATTTAAATAAAAAATATTTTCAAAGACTCTCTCCACTTATAAAAATGGGTCAATCTCAATTATATAATAAAAATAATTTTCATATTGGAAATGTAATTTCCATGTCAAAACTGCTCTTTTTCATGGACTTTATTTTGGAAGGAGTTGCAAGTATTTACATGCACATGTGCTGGTGGGATATATGAGAACGTAGCTTTAATTTTTTTTAAAAAAATTTTGGTTAAGAGATATTTTTTTATATTTGAAGATTGTTTTAATGTGTTAATTTTAAAAATATATATAAAAAATTACTTTAATATATTTTAAAAATATATATTTTGAAGTGGAGCTGCAATCACAATCCCTAACATGCTAAATCACCAACCACTCATTTTGGTATTTTTGTTAGGAAAAGGTTGTGTTTGATAGTATATTAGTTATTGCTTTTTAAATAATTTTTTTGATGAAATGCATGTTAATAATATTTTTAATATTAGTACTTTAAAACGATTCAAGACGGATAAATTATATTAAATTTTAATTAAAAAAATTAATTTTTTTAGAAACGCAGGTTGAACTTTGTTCCAAACATTACCTAAATATTTAGAAATGTGCTAACAGTTGCTTTTTAAAGTATTTTTATTTTAAAATATATTAAAATAATTTTTTTTATTTTTTTAATATTATCATATAAAATATAAAAATACATTAAATTAAAAAAAATTTGGTGCAAGAGAACTTTTTAACGATAGTGTCAACACTACCGACATATTTACAGGCACAGTGAATAGCAGACTAGTGTTGCTTACTATAGCACTTAGACTGAGTATCGTGCCCTTGTTAGCACCACCCAAGAAATTACTTGGTTCTAATAGCTTTTTGGTGATATGGAGCTGAAATTTCCAATGGCACACCCCTACTTTGCCATTCAAATTATCGACGATGATGTCCCCATCTCTCACTGTGTTAAGCATTTTCCCTTTTTGTTGGGATTGGCTTGAGAGGAAAATGTGTGTTTTATATGTTGAAACTTACAAACTAACAAATTGGAGAGGATTGCCACTTTTTAATTATGATTTGGTTGGATTCTGTATAATACAGAGACTGTATATCTTGGATTTGCTGGAAAAAAATATTATAATACGCACGAACCATTTATTCGTGGTATTTTTGTTATTCTTGATTTTCTCTCATTTTTCTATAGAGTTTATGCAAACTTTTCAACTTTATATCCCTTACATATAATACATGTTAGAGGAAGAGGTAAAAAAAAACAGTATAGCTACAAAATAAACTTTAAAGTCAATGCTTAAGTAGTAAGGGAACCAGTTAGCTAATTAAGACTCTGACATGATGTGATGATCACCGGATGTTTATATGATCGTTAATTTTAGGACTCGTGGGATTAGTCGTGGTGCGTTCAAGCTAGACCGGACACCCATGTTAATCTAAAAAAAAGACTCTGACACAATGGGAACAGGATCGTTGCTTCAACTGCCAATTCATTTACTAGTTCAGTTGAATAAACATTTATATATATTTTTTTTAATAAAGGAGATTCATAAATAATAAATATGAAATGTATACAAGTTTGACGACACACTTGTTCATCCATCTAACTTACTAGTAGGTCTGAGATTTATATTTTAAAAAATACCACATTTGTGACATAAAACATGAGGGCACAAAAGTCAAAACAAAAAACGAATTATCAGGGGCTATTGTCCTAGACGACAGCTATTATATCATGGATGACAATATTTTCCCGGAAAATATATATATATATATATACACATTGTACCGAAATTACAATTATTACTAAGTCTTGCTACAGAAGGATGGGATGGCGAGCTGTTTCGTTTTTGGACCTTACGAAATAGTTTCTTGTAATTCTGCAAACATTCCAATAGTTTAATATATTTCTACACAAAGAAAATTATATATCATTTTCTCGGAAAATCGCACCTCTGCTATCAATTTTAAATAAATTCACATCATGTCGACAACCTCATGCACCCAGTTAAGAAATTAGAAAGCTGGTGGATTCATCGAAAAGTTTTTTAAAAATAAAATAAAATAAAATCGAGAGCTCCTCGTGCAATGCAACGCACGAACGCGTGCGATTTTGACACGAGAACAGGCGTCTATAAGGGTTTTCCAAACCATATACTCCAAATATGCTGTGTGTACAAGCAGACCTCTAGTTCAATTGTACTAGTCTCTTGATATCTGTCGAGATTGTTCTTTCAACTTTATCGTGGTTATAAACTTAACTTTTTTTGTTGTGAATGATGTGAAATGCTGTTATTTTTTTCGTTTCAACACTAACATATATAAATAAATAAACATTTATAAAAGAAAAGGACACCACAATGTAGACAGAATTGCAGAAATTATATGGTGTCCTAAATAGAAGAAAAGTATAATTGTACCAGATTTTGTTTTTCAGTCTAGTGGGTTTTTCTAGCATGTAAAAACATAATGTAAACCTTCGTAGAAGGTAGACTTGATTAGGTTGTGATTTCATAAATTAAATAAAATAAATATTAGAATATTTAGTGTTTTAATCCGAATTTAGTTAATTTTATATCTGTGCTTAGTGTTGTCCTGGCGTGCTCATGATGCTACTGCTACGTTGCAAGACTGAAGGCTTTTTAAATTTTCAAAATACATCGACTTGACTGAGAACCTTTCAATAACCCTACGGACACGCACACGTTAAATGGGCCCACAGAAGAAAAGGAAGGAAAGTGGAAAAGCGACCGCAATTTCCTGCCGCGCTCGAGATGCGTCTTTTTGAAAATGGTTTCCATATATATAACGAATTGGTGCTTTAGAAAGACACAAAAAAGATGAGTAGCAGCATGCTGACGAGGAATGGCCGACGCGCAACTCGAAGCACGGTCTGTTACATATTTGAGTGTATTTTGGTAACGTGGTACAGAAAGTGTTCTATAAAAACATTATTTAAAAAAACAAATTTTTTAGATTGTTTTATATACCAATATTTTAAAAAACATAATGTTTATATATTTTTAAATAAAAAATATTTTTTAAAAAATTATTACATTACCTCCAAATACTATCTTTGCTTGTAATTGTTCTCAGCATTTTTGCTAAAAGGATATACGTTGTAGACGTATTAATTGATAAAAATATTAAAGATATGGATGTCATGTTTCTTTTCATTTCTTTCTTGTTTTGAAAAAATAAAAACACATTCAAAATATATTTTAAAAATATATTTATTTCTTCTCCTTCTTCTTCAACCAAACAAGTTTTTTTTTGTATCATAGAAAACTAGCCAAATACAACTTAGAGATCGCTCTTGTCCTAGGAAACTAATGACGAAAGACAACTTAGATAACACTGTTATGCTAGCTTTCTAACATTCAATATTTCCTCAATGTTATTGTCAGCAGAAAAGAAAACCAAGGGACACCAAACTAACTAGGAGTATCAAGAGGATAAGAGCTGACATGGCGGAGATCAACGAGGGCCAGGAACGCATACGAGATGGACAGAAAGAAGTGAGGGAGAAATTTGAAGAAATAAGCAAAGAGACTGCCAAACTGAAAGAGGAAACTAATATAATCATCAAGCAGAGCGCTGCAAATCAAGTCAGGCTTGACCTCATGTTTCAAATTATCAAAGCAAGATCAGAGAATGATGCCCCCAGGGACGCCGTTCTGACTCAAATCTTGCGGTTTGTGATTCTCCAAATACGTTTGTTTTATTTTTATGATCAGAGGATATCATATTGACAATATCGCCAGTTAGAAACTTGAACTGCATTTTCTTGGCTTCTTTTTTTCTTTTTTGCCCCGGATGATTTGATTTACTAATGTTTTCGTTTGTTAAATATTATGTTTCAGGGAACTAATTAATGGCAAAGCAGAACCTGAGTTCAAGCAAGCTCCCCGAGGAGAGGCAATAACAAGATCAATAAATTAACCATGCTTCTGCGCGCGCATACACTTAGATTTAGGCAGTTTATGATTGAAAAAAAGTGGAAATAAAAAGGAATATCTGGGAAATTATCCCATATCAAATAAGTATAAAACAACAATCAATTTATATAAAAAGAATTGAGAAGAGGCCTCTAATCACAAGGCTTAAGTCCTTAACATGCAAATTGTATGATCCTTCACGGGTTTGCACTTGCATCAATCCGTTTATGTAAAGGACTTGGTAGCCATGATGACATGCTCAATTGTTAGCTGGTTCCAACTTCTATTTTAGAGCCTAACCTACTGATTTTAACATGTTTGGTGGTGCTTTACAATGTGAAGTCAACTATCTAAGTTAAAAATGGTTGGAGAAGGTGTAGTTATTCTTTTACATCTTAATCAAAAATGATGGAAGAAGGTGTAGTTATCCTTTTATACCTTAGTCAAAAATTGTATGTACCAAATTGGTGCTATTTGTCTAACCCCTTGTCTTTTACATGGATGTTTGTCTATAAATAAACAATGTATCCAAGCATTATACACACCACAAGAGAAAAAGAAGAGAGGGGTGAGGAGAGAGTAGTCCCACAAAATTATGAGGTATTTATGAAATAGTAGGTGAGGTGTTTTCTCCTAATAATAGAGAGATTTTTATTGCTCTCTTATTATTAGAGAGAGGTTGTAATTCTCACATTACTTAGTAAACTCCTTCTATATTTGCCTGTGGACGTAGCCAAATTGGGTGAACCAAGTAAATTCTTGTGTGTCGTTTCTCATTTTATCTTGTCCCTTACCTTTTGTCTTATCGGGTTTGCATGCCAGTATCCTAACAGTAGTATCAGAGCCTTCTGCTTGGTGTTGTTAATACACAAGTTATTCGTGTAAACGGTTACTATTCATGTATGCGACATTATTCATCCATACGATACTGTTGGCATATATAGAAAGTCAGTGCGGTGATTAAATACAATCTAGGAAGTTTTGTCTACGGAGATTGGGTTTTAAGCGGGACCGTTTGTGACCCCTCCAATCTTTCCTAAGAACTTACTTAGTGAAGTATTATTCACACGATACTATTTCTATATACGTTATAGACCTGTGAAACAGTGATAGCTGAATAGATCTCGGTGAATACAATGACAGCAAAGTACGAGATTGAGAGATTTAATGGGAGTAATTTCTCACTATGAAAAATGAGAATCAAGGCAATCTTAAGGAAAGACAATTGCTTGACAGCAATTGGGGATCGACCCGCGGAGATCACTGATGATGCAAAATGGAATGAGATGGATGGCAATGCTATTGCTAACATACATTTAGCAATAGCCGATTAAGTATTATCAAGTGTGGCGGAGAAGAAAACAGTTAAGGAGATATGAGAGACTCTATCAAAGCTATACGAGTCCAAATCTTTGCACAATAAAATTTTCTTAAAATGGAGATTTTATACCCTTCGAATAGCAGAAACCATGTCGGTGACTGACCACATCAACACAATAAGAACTCTATTTTCACAACTCACTACATTGGATCAACAAATAGAGGAAAATGAACGTGCAGAGCTTCTACTTCAAAGTCTTCCTGATTTGTATGATCAGCTTATTATCAACTTGACAAATAATATCCTCTTAGATTATTTAGTCTTCGATGATGTTGTAGTCGCTATCTTGGAAGAAAAAAATAGGCGTAAAAACAAAGGAGACAAAAATAATTCAAACCAAGCAGAGGTGTTGTTGGTGTCAAGAGGAAGATCAACGGAGCGTGGCTCTAGTGGGAGTCAAAAGCAGGGGAGGTCTAAATCAAGAAGTAAGAAAGTTGTACAACTGTGGCAAAAAAGGGCACTTTAAAAGGGATTGTTGGTTTAAAAAGGGTATAGAGAATACTGCAGAGTCATCAAAATCTCAAGGATGTGTTGCAGGCACCTCAGAAGATGGAGAAATTTTATATAGTGAAGCAGCAACAATCTCTACAGATAAAGAAGAGCTCATTGAAGTCTGGCTAATGGATTCAGGAGCAACATGGCATATGACTCCTAATCGAGATTGGTTCCATACATATAAACCCATCTCTAGAGGCAAAGTGTTCATGGGTGATAATCATGCTTTAGAGATTGCTGGTATTGACACCATCAAATTGAAGATGTATGATGACTTAATTCGTACTATTTCAAAAGTGCGACATGTGAAAGACTTAAAGAAGAATTTTTTGTCCATAGGACAATTTGATAATCTTGGCTGTAAGATCCAAACAGACAATGGAATCATGAAAATCATCAAAGGAGCGCTGGTGGTTTTAAAGGCAAGAAAGACAGTTGCAAGTATATTTGCATTAATGGGAGAAACACATCATGAGGCAGAAGCATCAATCGCATCAGCCAGTCTTGCAGAAGAGAAAACGATGATGTGACATCAAAAACTAGGTCACATGTTAGAGAAAGGTTTAAAAGTTCTCTCTGATCAGAAGTTACTCCCTGGGCTTACAAAGGTTACTTTACCTTTTTGTGAGCACTGTGTTACAAGTAAACAACACAGGTTTAAGTTTGGCATATCAACAACTAAGAGCAAATGCATCTTAAATCTGATTCACTTTGATGTATGGCAAGCACTGGTTGTATCCTTGGAAGGAGCAAAATACTTTATATCATTCATAAATGACTTCTCCAGGAGATGTTGGGTGTATCCAATTAGAAGGAAGGCAGATGTGCTTACAGTCTTTAAAACTTTTAAAACGCGGGTGGAACTTGAATCTGAAAAGAAGATCAAGTGTTTGAGGACTGACAATGGAGGAGAATATACAAGTGATGAATTTGATAACTTCTGTCAACATGAAGGTATCAAAAGGCAATTCACAACGGCATACACTCCACAGCAAAATGGAGTGGCACAGCGGATAAATATAACTCTATTAGAAAGAACAAGAGCAATGTTGAAGGCTGCAGGTCTAGAAAAGTCATTCTGGGCAGAAGCATCAATACCGTCTGTTATGTGATAAATCGATCTCCATCAACTACAATTGAGTTGAAGACACCGATGGAGATGTGGATTGGAAAACCAGCTGATTATTCTTGATTGCATATATTTGGAAGTCCTGTGTACGTGATGTACAATACACAAGAAGTTAGCAAGCTGGATTCAAAATCCAGAAAATATATATTATTAGGATATGTTGATGGAGTGAAAGGGTATCGTTTGTGGGATCCATGGCCCATAAGGTAGTTATTAGCAGAGATGTAATATTTGCAGAAGATAAAATACAAATGAAAGAATATAATATCATTTTAAAGGAGACTACAACAATTCAGATGGAAAATACTCATAATTATACTTCTTCTGAAGCTGCACCAGAGCATGAAGAACAAGAACAAATAGAGTCTGAAACTCTTAAAGTTCAACGATCAACTCGTGAAAGAACACCGGTTTGACACTCAAAATATGTTACTAAGAGCAACATTGCATGCTGTCTTCTAACAGAGGATGGAGAGCCATCAACTTTCCATGAGGCTATCAAAAGCACAGATGTATCTATGTGGATGACAGCAATGCAAGAGGAGATTGAAGCTCTGCACAAGAATAATACTTGGGATCTTGTTCCGCTACCACAAGGAAGAAAGGCCATTGGCAACAAATGGGTTTACAAGATAAAACGTGATGGCAATGATCAAGTGGAGCGGTATCGTGCAAGATTGGTGGTGAAAGGATATGCTCAGAAAGAAGGAATAGACTTCAATGAGATATTTTCTCCAGTGGTACGACTTACGACAATCAGAGTAGTCTTGGCAATGTGTGCTATATTTGATCTTCACTTGGAGCAGTTAGACGTGAAAACTGCATTTCTTCATGGAGAACTTGAAGAAGAAATTTATATGCTCCAACCAGAGGGTTTTGCTGAAACAGGCAAGGAGAACTTGGTTTGCAGGTTGAACAAATCTCTATACGGTCTCAAACAGGCGCCGAGGTGTTGGTATAAGAGATTTGATTCCTTCATAATTAGCCTTGGGTATGAAGAGTAAGAACAAATAGAGTCTGAAACTCCTAAAGTTCGGCGGTCGACTCGTTAAAGAAGACCACCAGTCTGGCACTCAGAATACGTTACTGAAAGTAACATTGCATACTGTCTTCTAACAGAGGATGGAGAGCCATCAACTTTCCATGAGGCTATCAAAAGCACAGATGTTGTCTATATGGATGATAGCAATACAAGAGGAGATTGAAGCTCTGCACAAGAATAATACTTGGGATCTTGTTCCACTACCACAAGGAAGAAAAGCCATTGGCAACAAATAGGTTTACAAGATAAAGCGTGATGGCAATGATCAAGTGAAGCAGTATCGTGCAAGATTGGTGGTGAAAGGATATGCTTAGAAAGAAGGAATAGACTTCAATCAGATATTTTCTCCGGTGGTACGACTTACGACAATCAGAGTAGTCTTGGCAATGTGTGCTATATTTGATCTTCACTTGGAGTAGTTAGACGTGAAAACTGCATTTCTTCATGGAGAACTTGAAGAAGAAATTTATATGCTCCAACCAGAGGGTTTTGCTGAAACAGGCAAGGAGAACTTGGTTTGCAGGTTGAACAAATCTCTATACGGTCTCAAACAGGCGCTGAGGTGTTGGTATAAGAGATTTGATTCCTTCATAATTAGCCTTGGGTATAACAGACTCAGTTCAAACCATTGTATGTATTACAAGAGGTTTGAAGAAGATTTCATCATTTTGTTGTTATGCGTGGATGACATGTTAATGATAGGCCCCAACAAAGATCGAGTCCAAGAATTGAAGGCACAGTTGGCTAGGGAGTTTGATATGAAGGACTTGGGACCAGCAAACAAGATTCTAGGGATGCAAATTTACCGAGACTGAAGTAAGAGGAAGATTTGGATTTCTTAGAAAAATTATTTGAAGAAGATCTTGTGACGCTTCAACATGCAAGATTGTAAGCCAATTTTCACCCCACTTCCTATTAACTTCAAATTATCCTCAAGTATGTCTCCTAGCAATGAAGCATAGAGGATGGAGATGTCTCGAGTACCGTATGCATTAGCAGTGAGAAGTTTAATGTTTGTCATGATATGTACAAGACTGGACATTGCACAAGTAGTGAGAGCAGTTAATCGATACATGACAAATCCTGGTAGAGAGCATTGGAATACTATTAAGAGGATCTTAAGATACATCAAG